TCCGCGGCCGATGCTGCCAGCGCGGGGCCTGCGGCTTGCCACTGCAGCGTCGCCGCTCGTCTTTGTCATTGGCGCGAAGAAGAAACACCGCGTTGAGCTGACCAATGGCGAGGAGATAGCCGTCGTCTTCAAGGTGCAATGCACCGAGTCGTCGCGCTTCCGCCTGCAGCCGTCCAAGGGTGTCGTCGCCGCCAACGCGTCCGTCGCCGTGCACATCCAACTCGCATCCCATGTAACCACGTCCCATGGCTCTATGGCTCACTCACGAATACAATGTGGCTGTATGTAGAGCATGGACGAAGCCAACTGCACCTTTCTCGTCCTCTCCAAGGCTGCGTCGTCGCCAGACGCCATTGCCAGTGGTGCTTGGGTCAAGGACGATGATGTCGCCAAGCTCTATGTCAACGCCGAGATTCGACAAGAGGCATCCAACGGCGGCGACGTACCCAACAGGACTTCTGCATCGACCGAGGCGGCAGGCGAAAGCGATGTCGGTGCTGCACTGTCGGTTGCCATCGCTGCACGCTTGCCCGAGACACCGCAGTGCGAAATGACACATCCACTACCGACATCGTTGGCTCTGTCGATCGAGACATCATTGCAACTTCCGTCATTGCATGTGGAGGTTGCTCCGTTGCCTGAAACGGAGCAGCCCACAAGCCCCGACGAGCGGCGGGTCGTGCGGCTTCTCGTTAAGAACAAAAGCCGAAAGTCATCGAATCGGCTCTCGGACGACGAGGTAGCGTATTTGAGGCAGTGCAAAGCTGCGGTGACACCGTCGCGCTGGCACCAATGGGAGATGAATGCGCTTCACGCCCGCACATCGCTGCAAGGCGAGAAGAAGCGGCGAGCGTCCTCTAATGCCTCGTCGTCGTCGGCATCACTCGCGTTGCATGAAGACGACGTCGCGTCGCTGCTCACATCGCCGCGGTACGGCAAGAGTGCCCACTCGGTTGTCACCGAGTCGGAGCAAGCTAGTCTCTGCTGCGGTATGTCGCCTTTCTTTTCCTACGTGAGCCCATGGTATTTCATCGACCAGAGCCCGTGGACAGCGTGGATGCCGAGGTGTATGCACCGTTGCTCAATGTCGTGCCCCATCGATGTCGCCGGCAAAGTGCGTGCGACGACCAAGGTCGGTCGTGCATGGAGCCTGCGTGCCTATGGGCGCGGTACATGCTCGATGTATGCATTCAGCAACTCCAGCACACTGTGAACGTATGCTATCCAATATTGCGGGCGCTTTGTCATGTTGTGTTGCATAGGTTGGTCGCACGATCGCGAGTTCTTCAGACGACGCTAGCAGCGCGATCGCACGCATCTCCAAGTCGGCCCAAGAGATTGTGATTTTGCACCAAACAAACCCGTACTTTGACGATGCGTTTCGAGCCGACGCGTCGACGTCGCGGCCGTGGCTCGGCTCCACCGAGTCCTAAGACGTCCGTCCACCTTATTTAATGCAACTCTAGCTGTCCGTTGACGACAGTTTGAGAACAAGTGCGACGGGCACTG